AGTTTGATTTGGTAGCCTTTTACACCCACTTTGCAGAGGTAAACAGCTACAAAAAGTGCAAGGCAGTGGAGAATTAGGCCCCAGGAGAGAGATTTTGAAACTGTAGATAGCAAAGTCCACAGACTCTGTAGCCATGGTTCCCAGTAGGAATATTTTTAATCCAAAAATATCATTGTAATGATTCTTATGTTTTTTAAAACATTGTCTTCAAATATCTGTAAAGTCTTGGAATGCATATAAGCAGAATTTCAAGTGTTACAGTCTTTGGGGTTGTGTGTGCCCATCTAACACATACACATCATTTGTGCATTTATACAGAAGAGAATTCAACTCCTTTGAAGTTACAAGGTAAGTAATTCTGATATCCACATGAGAAGAGAAAATGATTTATCTTATAATTCTGCGTCTCTGAAGTTATAATCTTGCAGGATTCTCACACCTGAATCTTGGCTCCATAAACAGGCAGAACTTCCCCAAATGCTAAAGGGTTGTTTGTTTGTTTGTTTGTTTGTTTCTAAAGTAGTAGTGGATGAGAGCATAGGTCATTCCACAACTAGCAGCTGCATGTCACTATACAGAGGCTAACAACCATCTTTGATGTCTGCAGTACTTTCTTCACCAACAGGTCCAAAATAGGATCCAGGAGAATGGTAACCCTATTGGATAGGAGTTCCTGGCCCAGGTTTCTCAGTCATAAGCCCTTCTAGTTTCTACCATAACCAACTCAGTCTGCCAATACAGCCAACTGTTTAAAAGAGTTATAGTAAAATCCGTTCCTCAAACAGAGTTGCTGTCATGGAACTCCTTTGTAGAAGAGATATACTTGGCATCAGAAGAGCCCCCAGCTCTTGTGACCAACTAGGAATCATTGTCTCCCTGCTCCCACACAGTTAATTGATCATGGCACACTGACACGGGAGCCTGGAGCATCAACCATGGCTCAAAAGGCACTGACACTGACAGTATAGAGACATTCAGTGCACGAGGAATCAGGGATACCAGCATCAATACCAATATTTATGGCCAATGCTTCAGAATCTTGGGGTGCAGACATCGACTTTAATGTTCCCATGTGTTCAGATTGTGCTCACAGCTCCAACAATTCTAGATACATGTAAGTTTGCTGTGATTTTCCACCCCTCAAAAAGCTCTTCTTTTCCTGCAAGGGTGGGTGAAAAAGTCCACTAAAAACCCCACAAAGGCTTTTATTAAATGAAACAGAAAATACTATGCGATTCACTTTATATGAATTATTCCTCAAACATAAAACAGGCACACATTGTCCAAAATGAGAAGTTTGTAATTCTGTAAACAAAACACAACTGACTCCCCAGTTGACTAATTAGTAATGCTTTCCAATTTTATATTTGCACTGAGATACAGGTATACTTTTACCAACCTCTCTGATTTTTCAGCACCTACCTTATTACAACAATTTGACCAAACCAATCCATGTGTACTAAGTATCTGCTCGATCCATGCGGAACTGACTGGACAACTCTCTCGAAAATTGACAAAATTCTCAATCAAACTGAGCTCCCTTCTGTGATTTTAATTCCCACAATTTCCTATAATTTTAATGCAACAATTTGTGACAACTTCCTTCACAAAAATAAATCTGGGTTAAAAATCTAAATCTTCAATGTCAAGTGAGCAAGGAAATCAGGTTAACAATTCTTCAGCCTTACTTTTGCCTTTCCTTCTCGTTCTAGGCTCAACCTACACTACAACCTTTGTATATAGGATCACTAAAATTGTCAAGAAATGCAAAGGTCCTCTGCGTTGTATTTCATATTTTGTCCTTTGTGTAGTTCCAGGTTTTTTTTGTTAATTAATTCAAACTAGATTTTCACCAAGACCAGGACAGTGATGTCATCATCCTGTAAGTAATCACTCAAGTTCCTCCAAAACCTCCTTCAATGCTTTGTTAAGTTTAGTGTCTTTCTTTATGAAGTCCTGTGTAGCAGTTTCATAGAATGCACCCTCAACACTGTTAGAGACACTATTATCCTGAGATTGCTACAAACCTTTGTTGGAAAGCTAGGTACATCATTACCAGGTATATCTCAATCAGCCACGAGGCAGATGGTAGTTGTGAAAGAATTTTTTAACTTCTGCTGCATTAGGTTTCTTTGCAAGTTTTATGTAACATGCTGAACACCTACATGTCAGAAATTTAGACTGACTGCACCAGATAAGTTCTCTCATCTTTTTCACTATATCTTCATTGTCTGAACAAATAGTAGAGACCTCTCTGTCATACTTGTCTCTGTATCTGTGGATGGCATCATCATCCAAATGCACACAACATTCTTCAGTTTCTTTACAGAGACAGCATCAATGGCATTCAGCGGGAACACTTTTTTCTTTGCATGCATGCTTATAGCCAATTATAGGATCATTTCTCATGTTTGACCAAACATCTTCATTAATGTTGATTCTTTCAGTCTTTCTTTAATTTTTCCTCTATTGCTTCATTTGCAGCATCTATTAATAGACCTCTAAGTTAAAATCTGCCACTCCAGACAGCTCTAACCCCAAGCCCTGGCACATAGTGGCTGAAGACAACTCAGGCTTATCTTTCAAGGACTTCTCCTTCAAGACCCTAAAATCTTTAGAGCTTTGAAGACTTTTGCTTGTCTCCTGCTATGGAACTGAGATTCAGGAGTAAGATTCCTGCACAGATGGAGTGTTTAGAGAAAAAGCACTTACCATGCACCTTTAACCATCTCACGTGAACTCTGCCCACTAATTCCCCCTGGAATTTAGTCTAATATTCCAAAACCTTTGGACAGCATCAAACCACCACTTTAAAACAAAACAAAATAAAAAAATAAAAACACTCTCCCAGAGACGTTTCTTTCCCTTTCCTGCCTCCAAAGCATAGCATACCCGCACTCAAATTAGACCAGCACAACTCATAGATTTTAAGTCCAGATACCTCACAACTCATCAGATTTTCAGAAGTGTATGGTATTTCTGAGTACCTCAAATTGTTGGTTGTTCAATCTAAGACATTATAAAGCACCCCAATTTTCATAAAGTGCTGAGCACACACCCTCTGAAAATGCTGGCCATATAATTTATTTTATATTATAGATAAACATACGATCACTAGGCAGTCAATTTCAACAAGTACGACTGGGCTCCTCTTGCTTTAATATTCATGTCACAGAAGTAAAAATCTAGGCAGAAATGAAAATGTGGCATCTCGAGCCAAAGACAACTTACCACTCAGCTGGTAAGTTGGCAATTCAATTAAGAAACCTGGATTCCTGCATTTTAATCCTTTGTAGAAAGGTGGTAATATATGAGCAATATGAAAAGAGCTGGATTCAGATCATTAGAGGTTCACAAGCCAAACACATGAAGCTCTGGAGGCTGTCCAAAACAAAATCATGCCTAGGTGGTGATGTCCGTTCAATAAAAACTCAATGTCATAATTATCCTCTCACTTTTTCCCTGAAGAGTATTAGTAATCATAACTGTAATGTTGCTCAGCCAATTACATTAATGCTGTGAGAAGACAGATAGGGCCAGCAGCCAATCACTGTGCCAGGTCATTGCCTGTTGACAGATAATGTACAATTATCGAGCAATTAGTAAATGAAGTGAAAAATTCAAACACCCATCTCTGAATAACATAGAATAATTCTTTAAAAATAAAAAATATGTTTTAATAACTTTGCTTTGGCTGTAGCTAAACAAAAAACGGAAGGCTCCTTTTTTCCACATCCCTTTCTAATGACAACTGGGTACCATTTATTAAACTGGCAAAATGCCTTGGCTGTATTAAGCTGGCAACAAAGTAAGGTGTTGGCCTCCTTTAAACCAAATCGCCTCTTACAAACAAGTAAACATCCATTTTAAAAAAAATCTAATGAGGAAAAGGAAAAAGTCAGATGATGAAATGCTGCAACTCAACACACTAATATATCTGAAGTAGCTGAGAACTCATAAGAATAGTATATTTGAAGTTACAAACTAATTAGACACTTGTTGTGTATTCTATGCCAATGGGTAGATATTGGGATTAAATTGAAATAAATATATTTGCCTGGTAGATCATTATTTTCAGTCCTTTTCTATATTTAACAGAAAATAAAGTAAAAAAAAATTCTGCAACTAGTTAGCTCCATGTAGAGACAAAACACTGTTTTCCATTCATTATCAAAAAGCCTCGTGCTTGCAATTGAGTATAGAATTCTCAGTCTGCAGTACAACTCTAATCAGAAATCTAGCCGAAATTTGCCAACATGCTTTTTTGGAGAACTTTAATCTATTTTCCCCTTCAGAAAACAACTACTGCATCTTCACTAATTTATAGTGAGAACGTGGGTTATTAATCCTCTTAAAAAGGGTGGGAAAGGAGCAGAAGAGGTCACCATCAACAGTGAAATCCAACTAGACTAGAGGAGATTGTTACATTTATATATCCTCTGATATAAAAAGAAGAAAAAAGCAACCTTTGACTTTAAAAAGAGAGACAAAGAGAGAAAAGAAATAAACCACAGAAAGCTTCGATAAAAATCAACTCTGATGCAAAGACATGACAGGCTCTCACACACTGAACAATATTGGTCTCGCTCCAATAAACTGGTACTGTGTTAGTGTAAGCTTGGAGTTTTTCTTCTTGTGGATGAGAAAACCTATTAGGGGCGGGGAGAAGGAGAGAGAAATGGGTACCTATGTGGGAAAAAAATCCCCAAACCCAAAAAGATGTACAGAGCTAGGTGATGTCAACCAAATTTTTTTTTGGCATTCAACATGTTCTCCTCCTAAAAGATATGTCTCTAGCATATTAAATAGCTTAGATATAGTGTGAAATTTAAGAAAACAAATGTATGTCATTATTTATTCATTTTTAAAGTAGCCTCTTACCTTCATTCTGAAAGCGAAACACTTTGATTTGAGCATTTTCTTGTGGCCTGCACATTAAGCAGGATGGCAGAGGGGAAGAGGAGAGAAACGAAAGCAATACAGAAAAATCCTCCACCAACCTGTTGCTGTGGATACTGCATTCCTCCCAGGGCTCCCGAGGTCCGTCCCTGCATTCCCATCGGATATCGCTGAGGTCCTGGAGGGCCATATGACTGCCCCGGGTATGGACTGCTTTGCTGTGTCTGTGAATGAGGGTTATTGCCCATTCCATACAACTGAGGTCTCTTCATTACCATTGGATCCATTGGGCTGCCCTGTTATTAAACACAAGCAAAGATCTGCTTTAAACATACTGTAGGAAGAAATTAGAAACACCCCTTAGTATAGCACAGATTATACCTGCATTTATTCAGCACAGTGAACCTTTATTTTGAACACATCCAACAACAATTCGACATACAAAAATGCAGTGAAGTATAGGGCTCTACAAGCAGCATGTTCTAATTTTCCTATTAATTAGAAAAGAGTTTTGAAATATGGAAATGGGACTTAAAATCAGAGATATGACAAAAATATTTTGCACACGTAAGCAAAAAAAGAAAAAATGGCATTTAAATTTTCTATTATCTCTGCAGGAGATTAAAAAAAAAATCAATAAGCACACTAACATGTATAATGATTAGCAATACTGTCTTTAAAGTATTCTTCCAGCTACACCAATTTTATTTACCTGTAAAGACAGTCTTGGGCAAAAATTTTAGCCTGGAAAAGGTGGCTAGTTTTCAAATTCATAAAAGAGATGGTGGAAGAAAAAGAAAGTTTTGAAGGAGCATTAAGCATATGATATGTTACATTTCAGAGCCTTTGCATTGCAATCATGTGCATTAATCGGCTTCCAAATCATAATGTGAGTCATAAGCCACATTTCACATGAAAGTCAATTTGCTTCCTTGCCAGACCTCAGAAAATCCAGGACTGGAATGGTTTGGCGTTTTTTTGGTTATTGTATTGGTTTTTTGTTTTTGTTTTGTCAGGATGTACCATGCATCTCAAGAGTTTCACGACTGGTGTCAACCAGTGTGTGACACCTTACTGTCACCTTTTTAACTAGTGAGGACAACTGAATCAGATCAAGAGTATAAACTGTCAAGTACAACTCTACCATGCTCCTACAGTGCTGAGCTACAGCATCTATCCTCTACCTCTTAATTAATGTGCATTAATTCGAGGTACAGAAAAGTTACACTTAAAGAAAAAAAGCCTAACACAATATTAGCTTAATTAAAAGCAGGGTTTTCATAGAATCATACAAATTAGAAAAGGAAAAGACCTACTAGTTTATCCAGTTCATTTCCCTCTTAGTGCAGGACTTCTCTACAGTATATTTTCTAAAATTTTGCCCAATCTAGTTTTAAATGTCTCATGGGATGGGGCTTCTTTTTGGAGATTATTCCACAGCCTAGTAGGCTATGATACTAGTAAGCTTTTCCTGATATTCAATTTAAATTTTCTCTTTCTTAATTTCATCCCACTACTGCTACTTACACTTTTGTAATACACTAATTTTTATTTCTTTATGTTTACATCTGTCAAAAATATGTAGGGTATATCTCCTCCAAATTAGTCACGGCTTAGCCAACCGTATATATTTAGTTATTTTCATCTCTTTCCTCACAAATAAATCACTCAAACCCATAATTTTTATCATTGGCCTTCTGTAACATCCCACCTATTTGGCAGTATCTTTCTGATAATGACGTATCCAAAACTAAATGCAGTATTCCATGTGTGATCATATCACAGCTGTGTAGATGGGAACTGTTACTTCTTTGTGATATGCCTCTATGCATTTATTTCAAAAGTGCATTAGCCTTTCTTGCTACCATATTAAATTGAACGCTCATCTCTAATTTGTGATTCACTATTGCTCCTATATCAGTTTCACTGGGTTTCTCTTTGCTTTATATATCTGACATTTCAAATTATTTTTGCCAGATTATTAGCTTGCATTTGTTTTCAAATTGAGTGTCATTGGATAATTTTCTGTGCATATTTCATATGTCTCTAGGCCACTATGTATTATTACTATATTCTCACTATAGTGTTTGCAACGCTTTCCAATTTAGAATTATCTGTGAATTAATTAAATTGATGTTTCCTCCCCCTTCTAAAGCATTAAACAAGATGTTATATAAATCAGACTTAACAACACTCCCTGAGCTTCTTTCACTAGACTCTTCCCTTACTCAAAACAATACCTATTACCCTTCATTTTAGGTTATTTCTTCCAGGTTTCAATCCACTTGACAATGTTCACATCCAAACCAATTTCAAGTGTAGCATTTCTGCTACATGGTATCAAAGATGAGGCTAAAAGTATAGGCTTCATAATTAGCAATTCCTACAGTTACAGTTAACTGACACTTTCCATTATAAGATCCTATTTTCAGTTCATAAAATAATAGAATCAGAGGGTTAGAAGGGACCACAAGGGTCATCTAGTTTAACTCCCTTCCAAGATTTAGTGGTGTCTAAACCATCCAAGATGGATGGCTATCCAGCCTGCTTTTGAAGGTGCTTCCACAACTTCCCTAGGCCATTCTGTTCCATTGTCTGCTTATAACTTTCAACTAAATTGCTAATAACTATGCCAAACCTTAACCATTTGGACTGAAACTTTCCAGGAGAGGCTCTACCTGAGGTTGAGTTTTTTTGTTTGTTTTTAATTTGGCAAAAACAGTTCACTCATTTCTCAGAATGAGGTTGGGGAAAAATAGATTGATTATGTTAATGTTAAAAATTCTTATAACTTTTTCACTGAGAAGCTTTAGCACCTCCATGCTTTGAAGCAGGAACTTGGAATTTGCTTGGAAAGTTATCCTAATGCCTTTTGCTCTTTCCATGAAAAATTGCCCAAATTTGGACAAGGGACTGGAAGCCAGGGATGGGTGGAAACAGACAAGGAACCAGGGGGAAGGTAGGGTGTGTGAATGGTGGAGGTGGAGAAGAAATGGACAAATGGTGCCATACGACTGACTGAATAATGAGACTGAGACAAGAAGCTGAGGGGGAGGGGACAGAAGAGACAGGTCTCTTCACCATTCCTCTGCTGTCAGCAAATATCTGTGAACCCCACTGGCAAAGTGTGTGTCTCATCCACCTCTACTGGCTGGTCCACACAAGGATTACAACCTATTACTACTATCAGTTGCTCTGTAGGCTCAAGCAGCAGAGGAGCGTTCAGTGGCACTAAAAGTTTCAACACACTTGATGAGCCTTGCGGGTGTCAATATGATTCCACAAGATGAAATTTCTGGGTTTTTTTCAATTTGCATTTTTAAAAACCGAGGAAGTAACATAAAAAAAAAAGCTAAAAGAATGTTAAGCTTGCAAAGTCAAATACTGAAAAGTTAAGAAATGCCAAAATTAAGGTTGTCCTGAAACCTTATTTTGGCCCCCTTATACATAAGCATTCCAATACTTTAAATTACATAACATACTATTTTTTCCCATAGGACCCAGTCTCATTCATGGCACAGGATAGACCTGCTCTAAGGAGGAATCAAGGTTGTGCAGTGAATGAGGCTCTTGTATGTAGGACCTCTGCTTCCCTCATTTGTTGCAAAAGCCAGAAGGTTTGCAGTAAATGACACAGGAGATTATAGGAAAAGAAAGGATAGTCTCATGGTTAAGGCAGCTGAATGCTACCCTGGAAAACCGGATCCTATCCCCGCCTCTGCCACAGAGTTCGTATGTGATGTCACTTAAATCGAACTCTTCCTAGGTGGTCACTAATTTTCTGGGTGCCTGATGTGAAATCCTGGGGTCTGGTTTGCAAAAGTACTGAGTACTCACTGCTACAACTGAAATCAATGAGCTGTGCTTTGAACACATAAAGTGCTATATAAAGGTACGTGCTCAGAAAAAAATCAAGCCACAGGCATCTTAAATTGAACCCCCAAAATTAGTGGACACTTTTGACCTTAATCTCTCTATGCCTCAATTCCCCATTTAATACTGGGAATAACACCATTCCCTCATTGCACAGGTGTGTTGTGAAAATTAATTAATGTTTGTGAAGCACTTAGATACTATAGTGATATGTGCCACAGAAAAGCCCATGAGAAAAGTAAATAATTAATAATAAAAACCTTGTTTCTGGCATTTTCTAACTTTTGAGTGTTTCACTTTGCAACCATAATACTCTTTTAATGTATTTTTGGATGTGTCCCCCTTCTTCCACTACTATAAAATAGCAAGTTTGTCGAGCAAGACTTGTTCATTTATAAGCCTATATTGAAGGTTCCTTTATCCTTTTGGTGTTCAGGTATTTTTTCCTCTTAACGTTTGTTCCATTAGTTTGCTAAAGACAGAAGTTACAGCAACAGAATGACAATTACACGTATCACTCATTTTCTGAAGATCAGAGAAACTCTGCTCTTAGCCAGATTTCCCATACCAGTTCTCCAACACTTTTCAAAAGTCATTGCCAGCAATACCATAAATTTATCTAATTCTTTCAAATACTCAGGAACATATACTCTCAGAAACAGCTGATGTGTACATTTACACACTTTCCAAGTACTCACTTACCTTCCATCAAAAACTATTTTACAAAGCTTTAATTACTTCTTAATTGGCCAAACTTATTGTATTTTATTATAAAAATAATAATTATAAATAAAAATAATATAATATTTTAGTGTTTATTAATTTCATCTCACCTCCTTTATTAATGGACCTAATTTCTCTCCAAGACTACTTTCCCCCTCGATACTTGGAATAAAAACCTTTTTACTGCTTTGGCTAGTTATTTGCTTATTCTGCTTGTCTACTGCCCACATTTTTTTTCTTGCAAGCCTTCACGGACTGTATTTTTCTTCAGTTTCCCCTATCCTCTTTTCAATTTCTAGTGTAGGTTTCTTTTAAATCTCAGATATTTACACAGCTCCTCATAACACCATATTGTACAATTCTTGTTCTTTGCATTCTTCTTTAGTGGTAGTGTAGTCTATAGCATCTTTATTATAATGTCCTTCTTACAGCAGTGTCAGATCACGTATTTGTACACATGACTTCCAGACTCGAACTGCAACAAGAGCGCATATAATAATAATCCCGACTACTACTCACCTTTGAGTGCTTTAAAAACACGCAGGGTGAAATCCTAGCCCACTAAAATCAACGGGAACTTTGTTGTTGACTTTAATGGGGCCAGAATATCATACACACCCATCTTTAGATTAACAGTCCAGGTACTTAAATAGAAAGAACGTGGAAAGTGCCCACTGCCTGAAAGGATTAACTGAGAGAT